AGGAAGTGAAATCTGCTATTAGTCCTTTAAAAGGCTAACAAATCAAAAACTACCACTTTACTTTTTCTGATGTCTACACTGAAGAATAAAATAATCTCATTCAAAATGCAATGAATTGTTTAGTAAATAGGGAAATGCATTTTTGCGCAGATCAAAGAAGGTTAATATTGAATGGGATATCCGAATGTGCGGATAGCTGTAGCATAGGTCCACATGGGCGTTGACCGTGTCTCTGCTCAAGGCAACCAATTACAACTTCAAAGACTCGTAAAATGATTACGTAGACCTAGATAATTTGGAATACTAGCCTGCAAGAGCGGCCAGCATGGTCTAACTGACCATATTCTGTAGTACCATAGGGGATACCTTCGATCTAAATGCAGTTTACCAGATGTGGTTATATTCAACTTTGCATAAGTTGATAGCTCCCAAGACGTGTTTTGTCGAAGGATAGGGAAGACTTAGCCTTCCATATCACGAATCATGACTTTAAAGCAGTCTGATTAAAAGGTAGGTAGATTTCTGGGTGCACAAATTCGAACCAATTCAAGAAAGTTAACCTTCTATTAAATGTGTTGTTCCCCATATTCCCACACATGAACACGTTGGGCTCAATCAGAGTAACCTTGGTCAATACTCCACCCTTGCTTTGTCACTTGGTTTCAGTAGATTTCTTTTCAAATTGGCCAAGGACAGCGCCTGCAATTCCTCCTGCGAAACCCAACACGCTACAGTTGCCGCGATAAATCTTTGTCAATTTGGGTTACTGGGCCGTTATTTGAAGTCAGCAAAACCAATTTTATGTAGCATTGTTTTGATTATGTTTGCTGTAAGCATCCCCTAAAACATATTCGCTTCCCACCCTTTTAAACTAAATTCAACTGATTAGTGGAGAGGTTCATCGACGCCTTCAAGCAGGCACTATTCAGTCTAGGTGAGGTAGGGTCGAATGCCCATGTCTTACGAGGGTTTCTACTGTCATATACAACAGCATCAAATGATTTCGTACAACCCAGAAATGAACTTAAGGTCACGAAGAGCTATCACAGAACATGCGCCGGAAAAGTCAGAGCTACTACTAGCTTCTACGTCCGTGATCAGTGACCCAGACAAAATCTCTGGATGGCAAAAAAGATTTTGCGCACACATTAGACTTTATTTGTAATCCCCCAATCTTTTATGGAATTCCTGCATCCAATTTTTCATTTCCAGATTTCTTATATTATTCAATAAACGATTCTCTCTCCCAGTTCCTACTAGCAGGTTTCCATGCAGTGAGTGTAATTATTTTCCAGGTATCTGAGACTAAAATTGTCCATTTGTTTGTATCGTGTTGAATATTTAAAGAAAAATGGACGAAAAATAGAAATCTAAAAGGAACATCCTAGTTAGACTGGAGACCGAATGCCTCACAATTATCGGAGGAATGAGGGTCGTTCAAAACAACGTATGCGAATTCAGACCACAGATTTGCTACTTAAATTGTGTTAGTAAAATAGTTTTCGATCTATCAACCTCCTCATCTTCTATGAGTATGGGAGTGGGCACAATCATGATGCAAGTAACTGCTTGGTAGTTGCCCGTTATTTACTGTTTCATGGTGGTTGGCTTACGGAAGGTTGTCTGTTCGAAAACAGCTAACACACATTAATAATCCCCACGGTTGCAGGCATGGGGAACGGACTTTACAAATAAGCTTTCTTACTTGTATCAGTTTTTCCTCATAAAAAGGTATTCCTTATACATTCGATAGGTTTCTTAAAAAATAAACATTCCGTTCGCATAATTTGTAAGAAAAAACACTTCCCTAACATGGTAATTTAAAAAGCCGCATAATTGCTAGTTAAGAAGACCAGTCAGAGCATTCATCATCACTACAATTTTCTATTTTCTATTCAGTACTCCTCAAAATCCAGCACAAGTCTGTAGTAAATTAGTCAAGTCCTAACACCTCTATAACGCCCAACTACCTAAAGAAGATAAAAATGTCCAGGGAAAGATGTGGTCCGCATCGTGCTAGCATCGAGACAACGCCCTTATTTACAGGCGTGGATGACTGAGCATGGGGGCGACTAGTGCACGGGTTATGCCTGCATCTTGCTTCAACCATGTGGCCACTCTTGAGCCATCTGTAGCCTCGGTCGCATCACCGCAATTGTCCTTCAGGACTGACAGTAGGGCAAAACTACATGTATAAACGTGCTGTTCTATCTCCACGATCGGCCCGCTTGTGTTTGTGCGTGTGTGCGTCCAAGCTGTAGATTGTGGTAACATGATGTTTTGCAGGACATTCAGTTCTGTAAAGAGGTCCCTCAACGAGTCAAGCATTTCTTACTCCCATTTTTTTTGTAACTTAACAATATTTTCGCACAATTTAAGCTTATCCAGAGTAGAAATTTTGTTGCAAGAATTGCGAAAATAGAAAAATATATCTCGTGGAATGACTTCTTGCCGTTACTTGTGTGATTTGAAAAGCACGACTAGTTGAACTATTTTGAGTGTCAGACTTATATAGCGCTGAAGGCGAGCATCAACCGGGAATAGCTACATTCCCTAATTGGAGACACTCTACAGAAGAGAAATACGGAACTAACGTACCGAAGTAGAAATCACCATTGCTTGAGCTTCTTTGTGCAGAAATGAGCATCATCAAGGCAAGACTTAGGGAACACTATATCTATGAGTAACAACGGGGCTCTTAAAAAGAAAGGCAAATTCTTTTAACGGTAATATTGCAAGTACATTAAATGTTGGAGTATGGTGGGTAAGCATGCGTCTGCTAGCTGAATTAATAAAGTATCAGGAAAAGTTGCCGTTTTCACGTATTTGCTTTGGCATCTTTTGCTTTATACTGGCGAGTGAGGAGTAAGCACCGATAGGCCAAATCAAGAAATAGTCTACAATGTCCGAGAATCTAATTTCCTTGAAAAATTTTATGAAAGTTGGAATTTTAGATATTTCCCGGACAGGCTTACACTGCCTCTCCTAACTGTATCACCATCCACCATTCATCATAGAAAACTTAACTTTCGATAAAATGCTTTTAGTAGCCTTTGAATTCAGCGTTTTCACTCTTTAGGGGTCACGTAGTTGCTCTGAAATATAAGTAGTCAGAAACACGCTCTGAAGTCATCAAGGTCGCCATCGAAAGCAAAGCTTTCGCCCTAGTTTACCCGATGTAAAAATCTATATCAGCAAAGAAGTCTCAGCTTAAAAACTGTAGAATAAGTAAGCATGTCCAATCATTTATGCTCTTTCAGAATGTCTTGATCTTAAATGTATATTTTTTGACATTTTGAATCCGCACCCATACATTACTGGTCAAGCAGGGCTTCCATCACGAAAAGCTCTGTATTGTTTGGGAATCAGGCATGATCAGGTCGGATTTTACTTCTGAGCTGGGCGTACTGGTTGTTGATGGTGAGAAATACCCTGGGGCCACCATGGCAGGCGGGAGAAGTCCATGGGCATCCATTGTTTCATGTTGGCAATTGAAGGAGCCAAGTTCAAGGGTGGAAGCGGTATTGGAAAAGTGTCTCTTGGCATATTTACTGATAAAGTAGCATGTTTGACTGTCATAAGCAAAGATAGTACACATAAACTCATTTTTTGCTACAACATAGGCTTGTAATGGATCAGATAATATAATAGAGCATTTTATGGCACATTCGTTGAATCGGTTTTCTCCCCTTTCTGTTTCCTATATTGGAAATGGATTGGTTGACCGACGACACAGCCCTGTAACACTGACCAACAGTGTTGCAGTGGCTATGCCGGTGTTGTCTGTAAGAACATCTCTTAGAAGGACGATTCAAAACTTCACATTTCTTCCTTTACATCACTGTTTTTGCCTTTAGTCTTCCCTAAATATTAATTTAAGCTCTACTCGTAACGCAATGGATGAGGTAGCCTGAAGTCACGTCTCACATGGTGTTAACTGTTTTACGAATTTGCGTTGTAGGTGGGATTGGAGTGATTCCATCAGTATGCATATTGCTTCTGCGACCCCCACATCTACAGAGAGCCTCCTATCTCCATATTCACTTATCTGTCACCAAAGTCCACCTTCATTGACACGCATTAATGATAATGAGCCACACAAACAAGGGCATTTTTTAGAAGCTAAGAAGACATACATCCCTGGACATGGCCTTTTCTACCTCCCTTTAGTGCTTCATCTCACATCCTATTTAATCGATGATTATATCACTGTCTAACATTAGGTAAAGGTGATTTTTTTCACGTGGAGCTTAAAGAGGTATCATCAGGAGACTGCAACGTATGCGAATGAAGGAGTACTTTTCTTCTTCTTTCCCAATGCAGAAATTAATCATCTTTAATTCAAGTTAGGCATACACTTTTAAATCTTTCTGTGGAAAACACCACGGTTGCGTCCACTATTAAATGGTTAATTGAATAATTGCGATAAATTTGGTAGAAAAATAAGTTTTCAGTATAAAAGCAGCTTCATTTGGAGCAATTCCTTAAAGTACATTGAATTTGATAAGTAATCCTGAATGTGGGTTCACTCATCTTGCGTAAAGAAGTGGAAAGTTCTGTTGACGTTTATACCACCTACGCTGTAGTAATTTGACTGAAGAGTCCGTATTTACTACCTAGGCAGTTGGCAAGTAAGCTCTACTTCTAAAAGTGACCTGGTATGAAACATTTAGCCAGAACTTTTAGCAAAGATAAGTCCATCATTACTCAAAAAATTGTTAGCTAGAAGTCACTTTGTCACCACTATTCGCAGTGGCAAGAAAACTAGCACTTGTAGTCTCCTTGATTCTTGACGCTGTAGTTTTCTTGCTGGAAAACGCAAATCGTACACATGGACTAGATGTAAACAGAGAAAAGTTTGCATATTAGGAAGGTGAAAATGGTCAGTGACTAGCAATTATCATTCCCAGTTTCGATTACCAATTTTAAACCACCTCGTTTTAGTGAAGCAACAGGCAGAGAATGTGCATTTTTTGAATCCAAAGTAAACGCCCCTGTCTTTATTCGTCCATATTTAAAAGTACAAATGACCTGAAAAACTTGGAAATGGTCACATGAAGGCCATGAGGTGTAGAATTAATTGGGATTCGGATAAATGCTTGTCTATTTGAGGTTCTTAAATAAACTTTTAAATACAGCAAAAGCTTCTGACAACAGTGAATATGTGAATTCAAAAAATATTTGCTCAGGTAAGTACTCAGCACTCAGAATTAAGTGTGCATTAGGAACCAATTACAATCTCCTTAAGCGTTGATTACGTTTATCCTACGCATCGTCGATGATTAACATCAATTATGGATAGACGGATGAGAAATTTTTTTTTCCATATTTTTGTCAATTAGGTGGCGTCAGAGACTGACCATGCATAATTCTGGGTTAAAAATGCCTGAGTTTTTACACATTATGCTTTTTAATTTGCATATACAGGTAGACTTTCAGAGCTTTCAAACTGGGGACTCATGTTTACCCGCCATCACACATCTTCCATAAGATGTGATTGGGTTCAGTATGAAGCAAGAAGGCCTAAATATTCAGGTTTAGAGTGTGATTGTTACGCTAAGCACACTTTTGAGACGTGTGCAAACCTCTGGATCACGAGGAGACCAGCAGCAAGAATACGATGGCTGCTCAGACGTGTTCTCACTCAAGGCTATTAAATTTTAGGCTCCATAATATGATCATGTGCTATCAACTCCTAACAGCCTGTTTTTTAATAACTTCAACTTACCAATCAGTACCCCCCAACCAATCACTTTTGTAGAGGCTTTGGCTTGCGAAGGGTAATTCACCTTTCAGAGCTGTGGCTCAAATGTGAAAGGGTGGCA